TCAGGCGGTCGAAATGCCTGCATTGAAGTAATCAACAAACGCATTCAGAGAAGACCGGCGCACGGAAAACATTCGGAAGGCCTAAGCACATAACATGACCACGACCCGCCATTTCCCGCCATTAAGTATTAAACGAACGCTTCCTTAAAGAAAATCTATTCCACAAAATACTGCCAGCTATCCAAAGGCCGTTATCACAAAAATCCCAGGATTGCTCGCCCGCACGCAGCCGCGAAAATATCCCACAACACGCGGAGTGATGCTATAGCGACACGCACACGCATCAGCTTAATACTGCCCCATTCCTACATTGAGACAGCGCTAGCCAAGCCATAATTACATGAAATGCACACTGCCTTTCTGACCTGCTCTGGTATCGCTTACGGCCCGACCACGACTCTGGTTGCCTAGACGGGACCCGCCGGGCCCCTCCACGCCCAGCGCTGGCACTGGGCCACCGGGCTGCGCGCCGGTCCCGGCGGGCCACGCGCTCCCCCGACCCGACAAACGTGAGGGTCACAGCAGCGAACCCCAGACACACCACCCCGGATGCGACTAGGCAGCGCCGGCGAGCCGGGCGGGCACACACACACTCGCCACCGCGCGGCTCTTCAGAGCTCCTCCCCCTCCCCGCCCACACCATCGACCAAGCCGCCACAGAGGCCCGCCGGCCAGCCACACCACGCTTCTGCCAGATGGCGCCGACGTGGAGCACGCTGCTGCCGACGGCACCGACAGCACAGATGGCGTACTGACTGGCCAACCGAGCGCTCTTGGAGGCTGCCAGCGCATAGAGTCATCACATCAGCCTGTACGCGCTCAGAGCAAGAGATGAGATCCAATACCTTCCTCCCTAGCAGAGTCCCCCCGACCTATTGGTACTCTATCATTACACACTTGACGCTACTTTCAAATTTCCGCGCAAGGTTTAAGTCAAACGAAAAATTTCGCGGTCCAAAAAACTGAGACAAACAAATTCCGACCGCGGGGCACGGCCCTGATGGGTGGCAACAGGCACCATTCCCGAACAGAGCGCCGGTGCCCCCGAGCGTGCGGCGGCGCCCGGTGGGCAGGACAGCGCAATGGCGTGCATGCTAGGAGCGGTTCGGACGGGCTGGGAGGGGCCGTCAGGCCGGACCGGGACGGCGGTGGGAGCGGGATGAGGACAGGTACCTGCCATGGAGCGCCGGGTCACTGCGAAGGTCAATCTCCTGCAGCCTGCCGGGAGACCGAGCACGGACAGGGGGTCAGGACGGGGGCGGCCGATGTCGGGAGACCGGGCACGGACAGGGGGTCAGGACGGGGGCGGCCGATGTCGGACGACCGGCACGGACAGGGGTCAGGACGGGGGCGGCCGATGTCGGGAGACCGAGCACGGACAGGGGCCAGGACGGGGGCGGTCGATGTCGGGAGACCGAGCACGGACGGGACGTCAGGACGGGGGCGGCCGATGTCGGGAGACCGAGCACGGACAGGGGGTCAGGACGGGGGCGGCCGATGTCGGGAGACCGAGCACGGACAGGGGGTCAGGACGGGGGCGGCCGATGTCGGGAGACCGAGCACGGACAGGGGGTCAGGACGGGACGGCCGATGTCGAGCGACGGCACGGACAGGGGTCAGGACGGGGGCGGCCGATGTCGGGAGACCGAGCACGGACGGGACGTCAGGGACGGGGGCGGCCGATGTCGGGAGACCGAGCACGGGCAGGGGGTCAGGACGGGGCGGCCGATGGCCGGACACGGGCCGCCTCAGAGGAACAGAAGCGGGAGAGAGCCAGTCATCACGATGTGACAACAGCACAGAGGAAATGGTTAGATATTTATAGAAATACTGCCACAACAAGGCGGAATGATGATGAATGAAGGTAGGACCTTTAACTTTTTCAAGATTCCGGGCTGATTTCGACGCACTCACTAAAATTCAACTGGCCACTTCACGAGGGGTAAACATTCCCATGTCCAATAAGGGGTCGTGTGACGTGAATGGGAACAATTGTCCCAAATGGCAATGAATTCGGATACGGGCCCGTATGGTGTGAGCCTGACAACGCTATGTTCAATTCCGGAGGGCGCATGGTTGAAGTCGCCATGAGGACGTCCTTCCGAGCAGGGACGCGATAGATCGCACCAGAGCGATGGTCCGATCTGGCCAGCGCAAGGACCACGCTCCACCTCGTGCTCTCCGCCACAACAGCAGCGAGGAGGAGTGAGGGCAGCGGCTGAGGGCGGACACACGGGTCAGCTCAGCTGTTTACCTCATGACCTCAGTCAGCAGCCACTCCTCGAAGGTCTTCTCGGAGCCCTCGAGGCGCTTCCACGCCGCCGCCACATCCTGCCGCCAGCGAGACGGCACGGGTCAGACGGCCAGGCGGGGTGGGGGACGAGGGACGGGGCTGAGGCACGTGGCGACGGCCGTCGCCGGTCCAGCAGGCGCACACCGCTGCCGGGATGGATGCACAGGCGGGCATCGGTGGTGCACGGCGACAGACTACCTTGTTAATGTACTGGAGCAGCGTCTGGAGGCAGGCCGTGTATCCTGACACGATGGATATTCACGACACATGGCGAAATCACTGGCGCAGCCGAGTTCCGCACAGGCCCACATCGGACACTGACCCCCACAGTTTTGCCCTCGGTGGGCAGGTAAGCCGGCCGGTTGGAGAGGCGCAGCTTCGTCTGCAGCGTGTTGAAGTTGGTTTCCAGCTTGGCCTTCTGCTCGACGCGCGGCGGCTTGTGCTTGCGCCGGTAGTTGCGGTACTCGTCCAGCTTCTTCTGCACGCCGGCCAGCGAGTTGTCCGTCTGCCGCGACTCCAGCCAGGGCAGCGTCCGTCGGATCCACTCCAGCAGCTGGGGACAGACGCGCCAGTGACGCTCATGCAACAACCCTCTCCTGCTAAGCGTGGTACTCCGAGTGTGTTCACTCAGGCGCACGTTCGCTCGCCCAGCCGCTCGCTGACGCTTCGGAGGCGGAATGCTGAAAGAACCCGACGGACGATAACACAGACCGATTGGCAGGGACTGCGGGCAGAATGCGCTGGAGCAATCCCAACATATCAATGGTCAAACTCGAGTTGTTTGCTCACGCGGCATCCGCCACGCACGATACAGCCGAAACGTGAGGTAATGTGCCAGTTATACGCCGATGGCAGACCAACGACCAGAGCAACCGGCTGGGGCTTCCCTGGGGCGCCATCCCAATCCACTATCCCCCTCTCCAACAGACAAGAAGTGTTTGCGCGCAGCCGGTCGGGCAGCGCTGGTTTTCGCTGGAGCCGGCCTGCCAGCGCTAGCCAGCGCGCCACAGACGGCACCCTCAGTACTCACGTCGGTGGCCAGTCGTTCGTACTCCTCCATCAGTCGTTCGTTGTCCTGATTCACCCTTCAGCACCTTGCAGATTGCGGTTGGACGCCGTTCAGCCTGTGCGCGGACCACGCGCGTAGTTAGACGGGGAGTGGAGGGCTGGGAGCGGTTCGCGGGCCGTCTACGGGCCGTCCGCGGGCTCGTCCTGGGCCTCGCTCGTCTTCTTCCCCGGTAGCCCCCTCTCGCTGCCGGAGCGGGGGACTGCACAAACCACGCGGCTGAAGAAGCTGAACGCGAACATCGACAACAAGCCGTACTCGACTGCCGGGCGCATATCCAGTCAGTCGGCGCCTCGCCCGCACCTCTGCATCATCCACCGTCTATCTCCATCGGAGCATCGCCTATCTCCCACAATCCGCGACCAACGGAAGGGGCCGTGCCGGGCGCCAGTCCCCGCCGGCCCCCGGCGCTTGCGACGCAACTCGATTCGACGCCCTGTCTCCGACCGGTAACATCTGGCACCGCGCGACACGCTGGCGCGCCGGAGGCCTGGTGCGGCTATCTGACACAACGGACAGGTGCCAGAGCAGGCGCCGACATTGTTCGCGGGCGGACGTGCGTCAGTCCACGGCCGGGCGCTGGCGGCGCCCGCTGCGGAGGTGCCGCGACGCGCCCGCGACGTGCGACGCCGCGAGGGGCGGCCACGCCGCAGGTGGCGCCGTTTTTACCTTCTGCGCGCCGGCGAACCGGTGGTAGTAAGACGAGACATACGTCTTACGGCGCGCTCGTCTGGCACCGGCTCGTTATGGATATCTGCAACAGGCGCCGGCGCCGGGGACGGGTTTAGTGGGCCGCACGGACTCACGGGCGACGGGGCGCATCCGGCCCGCCGGCAGGCAGAGACAGCACGGCACCACCATGCTCGCAAACCGCCAGCCGCACTACCAAGAAAAAACCACCGGCGGCGCCACGGGCACACGCCACCGCCGGCGGCGGCGCACAACAAAAAACAAAAAAAATACGGGGGACCAGCCGGGTCCACTACGGAAACCAGGCGGGCTGAGCACCGGACTGCGGAGGTTTCGCCAGCGTGCCGCTCCGTGTGGACTCGGTCAGTGGAAACGGGGGGTTAGCCAGCGCTAAACGCGGGACGAGAGGCGTGCCCAAGCAAGGGGCATTCGGGGGCGGCCACATGAAGTTTAGTTGTGCACGCGGTCCGAGATGGCGTACCTGCTGGGCGCCCTGGAAGGCGTGATAGTAGCAGGAGACGTAGGTCATGAATGGCACGCTCGTCGGGTTTGGGGCGTGTTGATCAGGTCTGCCGAGCGCCCCGACACCGTCACAGCGTGTAACACGAGCGCACCCGCCAACGCCAGAAAGCGAGGCGTGTGACCCAAATGTCGGCGTCAGGGCGTCAAAGGAGCGTCTGTCACGAGCGGCGTCGAACAAGCGCCGCTCTCGTCGAGTGCGCGTAACGAGCGCCTCAAGCGTCAGGCCGCCTAACAGGGCCCGCCACCGTCGGAGACCGTGAAACGAGTGTAGCAGCGTCGGTGTCAAACGCCGCCACCGTGAGAACGAGAGATGGCACCTCTAGGGAGTGCCAATCGACGCTCACCATCAGGCACCGGGCACCGCCAGACGGTCAAACGACGCCGTTTCGAGGCGTCAAACGGGCCCCACCTGGTCGGATCGTCAGACGCGCGTCCCACAAGGTCGAGTGTCAGCCGAGCCCGCTGCCAGGCGCGGATCCCCGCCAGCCAGCCAGCCAGACAATCAGCGGAGGGAGGGGCGGGTGCCGGGTCGCCGGGCGGCAACCGCAGGGGTGCATGGAGCCCCGAGCCAACACCGGTGCGTCCCGGCGGCATCACCCCAGCTCACGTGACTTCCAACCCTCTCTCTCGCCGCAGGGTGCCGCCTCACACGCCCACGCAGGCAGCCACGGCCCACCAAATGCGCGACTCGTTTGGCCAGCCCCGAGTTAGAGCGGATGATTACCTTCGGGGTCCAACATCTTCGGGATGTCGAGGTGCTTTTCGGCCACGTCGAAGGCGGTCATCAGATTCTCCATCGGGTTGTCCTGAAAGGGAACATTTGGTTACCTTCAAGGCAAGCACAAGCCATGCGGACAGGGATCATTAGTTCACCCGAACGCCACAAGGCGGTGTTTGAACAAGGGACACGCAACATCGCTACTTGACTGTTACAGTTCGTGACCGCCTTCGTAAGCGATGTTACATTCTCAAAAGCGTCTGGCAAGTTTGCACCAGGGGCTCCCTTCAAGCGGCAAAAGCAAGCCGTCTGACCACGTGCAGATGTTGCGTCGTACATAATTATCTCGTTCATTCTCCACCTACACAACGCAATTACTACACCTCGCCACAGATTGCACGAAGCCGCCAACCTACCAGCAAACATTGACAAACGTAAAAAGCTGCGGCGGGCGAAAGCAAAAACTCGCCGCCGCGGCCACCGTCAGATTTCTCGAGCGCGCCGGGTCCGGCCGGGTGGCCCGCGTCGGCGCCCGACCTTGGAGAGTTTGTCGTAGTCGATGAGGTCGGGCCGGTGACCGGTGGATGAGGGCGCAGAACGCCAGGCCGTCCTTGAAGCTCGTGTGGAAGTTCTGCACGTTGACGTTCTGTAGGGCGCCGTCTTGCGCTGGCACCAGAGCAGCAGGCCTCCTTGGCCGTCATCTCCTCCACCGAGATGTCCTGGATGGCGAAGCGCAGGATGATGGTCCAGATCATGCCCAGACGTCATCTTCAGGTTACCATCGACGATTCTCTGCCGGCGGGGACGGCCCGTCAGTGGCGTCACGGGGTCAAAACGGCCCACGCCACAAGCACAGCTGGATCTCAAATCCGGCCAACCGACACCTGTGGCTTTGGGACTGTGAGCTGTTGACTGTGTGTGACTGTGGGCTGCTTGTGACTGTGTGTGACTGTGGGCTTGTGACTGTGTGTGACCGTGGGCTTCAAATGTGTCGGCTTCTTTACAGTTACATGCGCGGGCCTGAGGCGGTAGGCGTCGGACTCACGGCACAGGCTGCGGCTTCTGTGTGGGCTCTGCACAGGCTGCATCGCTGCGGGCGGCGTCCGATAACGTCGACGCCAATGACGGTATCAGCTACATACACGGCGCTCCCATTCGAGCATGATCGGAGCATCATCCACGGAACGCGTCTCAAATGCTAGTGTCAGCACTGGCCGGTGACGCGGTGCCGCCGTTCCACACCGACCACGGAGAGCATCGACCACGTCCAAGCTTCGGACTGCCGGCGGCGCTGGGTCTCATCCAGGCGCGGAGAACTACGCGGCTCACTGCTGCCGCTGATCTATATACTGGCGCACGTAGCGGCTCACTTTCAGACGCTTTTTACGGCGCCGAGGTTGTGAGCGGCGGCGCTGACGTTCACGCCTAAACGCTGTCTGTTTGCGTGGCCAAATCCGCCCGTCCCCGCGGCCCAGAAACCGGCCCCGAGCCTACCATGACCAACGTGCGACAGCGGGAACAGCTACCACGGCACACCACAAAAACCATCGCGACCTCGCGGCCTGCCAACGCTCCTGACTCGCATTCCGGTTCGTTCGCGGGGCATGGCGACCGCCGTTCGCCTCGCCGGCGAACGCCGCCGTATCTCGTTAAGCGCCGTGTCATCGCACGACAATTGCACCACCAGCCGGCACTGGGGCGAGGTCAGGCGGTCTGGGCGCGCCATCTAAGGTCGCCTCGGCGCAAAAACGGCGCGCCGGAGGACGCCGCCGGCACCGTGTCGCAGCCGATGGTGCGAGTGGACCGCGTGTCGCGCACAAGGGTCACGACATGGACCGGGGCCAGGTCACCGGGTCTGTCCCGACTCGACCACAGAGGCAGACAGCACGTCAACGCAACGGTACCGGAGGTCGGCCGTCCCAGCCAGCGGCGGTGACCGGCTCAGCACGGGCCGGTGCCGGCACACTCGGCCGCGGACGGGGCACGGCGCGACCGCAGCCCTCCACCGGCCGCCGTGTTTATTTACGCTACCGGCGGGCTGCAGAACGGGGTGGGGGCCAGCGGTGCTTGCACGAGCGGCCAGCCGGCAAGCCGTGCGGTGGCCCGCGCCGCCGGCCGCCTCCGCCGGAGAAATCGGCACCTGAGGTCACCAACAAAAAGGCCCGGTCGCGACTGCGGCCGGCCGTTTTTGTGGCGGCCGCCCCGCCCTGGCCGCACCGGGACGCAGCGGCGACATGGGGCAGCGTCGGCCGCTCCGCAGCGGGGCGGCGGGGCGCGCCTCTCCCGCTCGGACGGCACCAGACCGGCCGGCCGGCAATAGTAAGGCACCATCACCAGCCATCACACGCCGAGTCCCTCTCACTCGGAACACTAGCAACCGTTTCAGGTCCAACAGCCCGGACATCCCAGTCCGGTGTCGGCCAGTCGTCACGGTTTATTTGAGCTTGATATTTTGTAGCAGCGAACTCCAGCTCTAAGCCCTGTCAGCGACATTAAGAGCAATGATGTAGGATGTATGCCATATCAGTACCAACGTACTTGGATGCGAACGTTCTGTAAGGTGTCGTTTTCCCGCAACCTGGCAATAGCAGCAAGACGTAGCCGTTCTTACTCCATTCATATAAGAAACGTGAAATTTGCACAATCACAAGGCTGGATGACTCGGTTCCTAACGGTGTACTGTCGTCGGTAACCAGCATCACAGCAACACGAGACGAGCACCGTCTGACGCAGCACCGTTCACGGTTCAAACGCGGCTTACTGGTTTGTCGACCCTTCTATGGCAACGTGGCGGCCGGCTGCCTTTCAGAGCAGAGAAAGGTTGGAACCGGTCTGGTATGCAAATCAGCTCACAGAAAAAGAAGCTTCGAGGCTCAACTTAGGAAATAAGTGTCATTGAAACGTTATCTACGGGGCAAAAAAGCAATTTAGGAATCGCTTCAATCAGCGATGCAACATACTCCACGGCGCCATGGCGCTGCGCCTACAGACTAGCCAACAGCAGGCTCCCAAAACAGCGGCCTCCTATGCGGCAGCTCCGAAACCGCCCAACGGCACCGTTCAGGCTATGTGAGGGACGCCTTAAACAAGGCCTAACCCACATGTGAGCCCCGGGAATGACTCGTCGGCATCCGGGATCGAACTGGCCCGTCGGCATCCGGGACCGAACTGGCCCGTCGGCCTCCACAGACAGGCATCAAAAGGCCAATCGAGTTTACGACTTGGCATCCCGTGGGGGTAAAACCGTGGGATCCGGTAGTAATACCAGTAATCCAGGACATCGTCGACAACAGGCCAGTCAAAAAGCAATAGTGATTGGTAATAAAGTGGTCACATGTGGAACATGTCAGTATAATTGGGGGAGGCACATTAAAATTTCGAGTCATCTTTTTCACTCAAGGTCCAGGACTGGCGTCAAGGCCGCGGGATGCTGAGTGGGACTCTGGTCCCCCCCCCCCCCCCCCCCACATGCGCATCAAGTTCCGCCCTCGCTCTCAGTGAAGAACGTTTTCCCAAAACTATTGCGGGAAACAACGGGATTTTAAGCCAATTCGTTCCACATGGCGCCCATGGACGAGAAGAAAAAGTTCGGGAACACTGGAGGGCTCGGGGCCATCAAATTTGCCCGCCCCCGCATGCAGTATTAAAAGTATGTCTGGTCATCCCTTCGCCACGTATTCGTGCGCTCAGTTGCAGCACGTCATACTGGTGGTAACGGCGGTTCGTGGGGTAAGGTACAAACGGGCGACCCCGGAAGATCCCGGAGGACCAGGAGAATAGCGTTCACAATGCTCCAGATGTTCCACCGCGGCTGCCGACGACTGACGATCCCATTAAAGCGGCCCGTTTAGCCTCCCCTGTAAACACACCGCCTTCCGTAAGTCTCGGCGACTGAGCCAGCGTGACGTCATGGGCTGGCGGCGCCGTCCAGCCGCTAAAAATATTCCCAAAAGTCGGGCACCGGCGCTGGTCGAAGCGGGCGCCGTACCCAGGTCGTCAGGATTCACCCCGCTGCCGGCGGCAGGCGACAGATGGTCTGCCGCCGCCGCCGACGGAGGCATCAGCTGAGAATGGGCCGACGACCACCCGCGCCGGCCGCCGGCCAGCTCGACCGAGCGAAAGAGTTCGGGCCCGGCGCCGGCCCGACACACGGGACGGGCCCGAGCCGGCCGCCGGTCAGCCCGACCGAGCGACAGAGTTCGGGCCCGGCGCCGGCCCGACACTCGAGACGGGCCCGCGCCGGCCGCCGGTCAGCCCGACCGAGCGACAGAGTTCGGGCCCGGCGCCGGCCCGACACTCGGGACGGGCCCGAGCCGGCCGCCGGTCAGCCCGACCGAGCGACAGAGTTCGGGCCCGGCGCCGGCCCGACACTCGAGACGGGCCCGAGCCGTCACGCCTTACAGCGAGCTGCCAAATGCGAGCACGGGGCGCTGCCAGATCTCGCGGCGTGTTTGCGCTCTCACGACGCATCGATCACGACCCGTCGTTAGTGTCGGCTTTAAAAAAAACCGGCACCGATGATCTTAATACGAGGCGACGGACAGAAAGGCACACAAACACGCTCTGGAATTTCTCTAACGACATCTAGCGCCGATGCCAGAGCAGCGTCGCGCGAGTAAGTCGGGCGGGCCGCGACGAGCCTCCGGCGACGCCACACCCAGCCAGGTGGCCACGTCCGCGCGCCACACCGCTCGGAGACGAGCATACGGAATTAACCAACAATTGATGTCGCCGTTCCGAGTTGGCAGCTGAGCACAGGCGAAATGCGTCCGTGCGTGCAGTGCTTGGAAATACCAACCCCGACACGATCTCCTCGCTCCCAGAAAGTGCCGTTTTTCCTGCAGTCTGCGCGCAGCGAGCTGCGTCGCAGCGCCGTTCCGGGAAAAGCTCCTGCATGACGGCGCCGAGCTTAACCTGGCGGACGTGGACGCTTTCCTCTGCGGATGGTATCGCGTTTGTCGCCATTTTTACTGGTGATTCCCGGCTCCCGGCCTGGCTCCCGGCCCGGCTCTCGGCTCCCGGACCGGCTCCCGGCTCCCGGCTCCCGGCGCGGCCCCCGGCTCCCGGCGCGGCTCCCGGCCTGGATCCCGGCCCCCGGCTCCCGGCCCGGCCCCGGGCTCCCGGCCCAGCTCCCGGCTCCCGGTTCCCGGCTCCCGGCTCCCGACCCGGTTCCCGGCTCCCGGACCGGCTCTCAGCCAGGAGTTTCGCTGCGGCTCATAAGATCAGACAAACCATGGCGGTTTCGCCGCTAGAAAGGCTCCTCGGCATCACGTCTTGCAATGCCAGCCATCTCTATCCTCGGCTGTGAGCAAAATCATACTCTTCTCGGCTCTCCCATGCACGCTACCTGCGATTTCGCTGTCATGGGGGAAAACGTGCCACTCGGGTAACATACCATTCCAGTAGCAATGCATGTACAGGCTCGTTGTTGATGCACGAAACCCACTCCGTGGACTTTCCCTTGGCCAGCAATAGGCCCACCCCTTCGCGCGTGATCTCATTATGGCGACGCCAAACCGACAGCCTCCTACCCAGGGAGCCACACAACAACAGAGCGGCAGGAGTGTTCGAAGTGGCCAGAATCGGAGAGCAAGGTGTCGCCAGCAAAGCGTGGTCGTACGATCAGCGGGTAGTGTCGCAGCGGTCGATGTCCGGAGTGCCTGATCTGTCGGAGTGTTGCAGTGTCCGGGATGTCGGAGTGTCCGGACTGGTCGCCGCTGGACGCCAGCCGGCGCCGGCCGTCGGCGTCAGCTGCAACGGCCGGCCGAGCGTGTCGACGGCGGCCTCCCAGCGGCCCCCCAGCAGGTCGGCCCGGCTTCCCGGGCGCCACCCCCGGCTGGCCGGCCGGCCGCCGTTACAGCCCAAACGGTACCACGGCTGCAGTGACAGCTGACGCGGCTGCTCGTTCGGCGCAGCCCGGTCATGAGCCCAGCTGCCCCCAACAGGTCCATTGCGCCTCCATGTACAGGCGGTATGCATGACCGCAGCCTTAGCAGGCGGCCCCGCACCGGAAACGGGAAGAGGCCGCCACGAGATTCCGTCCAGCACGCGAGGGGGCGCCTCTCTCGGCCTCACAGCTGACGGCTGACGGCTGACGACGCACGGTGCCGGCGCCGGCTGCCGATCGCTCGTGGCCTGGACCGGCGCGTCGCGTCGCCCCGGCTCGAAGCGACCAGTGGACCGAGACGGCATGGGCCGCGGCCACGCCGCTGGCCGGCTCCGGCGCCCCGGCGCCGCTCGCCGCGAGCCGGCGAGTCTCGCCAGCCGGACCGCTCTCGGCGGCCGGAGTCAGAGCGATCAGCCAACGCCAGGCCGTCCGCCGTCCAGCGTTACACGATGCGCGTCCCGCGGCTAATGCAGCAGCGTAACGCTGCTTTTTCACTGTTGAAAACTCGTCTGGAGGCGGACATCGGCTATGCGCGTCTGTATCGGCAAGCGACCCACGTTTACAAGGGGCCGGGAGCGTGGGTGGAGCTCAAGTCCTGCGCCGTGCACACTGTCAGTGACGCACGGGTGTGTGCGCCGCAGTGTCACACGCCGGCCGGCAGCGCCGCCACACAGGGCCCGGAAGCGGCGCCACACAAGGCCCCGAAGTGGCGCCACACCAGGGCCGGAAGCGGCGCCACACAAGTGTCGGCAGCGGCGCCGCCTGCTCGCCCCGGGCCGTGCACCTGACCCTCAGAGAGCGGCCGGCAGGGTCCCGCAGCGTGCTGTCGCTGCCTGGGTGCCTCTGGCGCGGGACGGCGCCCGCAGTCGCCGCTGATGCCGCGCGCTCCCGAGCTCCGAGCCGCTGCTGTGTTGACGCACTGTCCGGCGCTGGCACGCGGAGCTCTGAGAGCCACTGTGCTCCCGCCAATGCGGCCTGCTGTGCAGGTTCAAACCCTCCAAATGTGGCTCTGAGGCGGACGACCTGACGTGGCATGTTTGGACACGGGGTGTTCGCTGGTGTTTGCCCCGCGCCAGGTCACCGCTGACGTCACTGCGATACGGCGAGCCCTGACCCCGACCGCGACGCCGCGCGGCGCCCGCGTCTCTCCACACATCCGGGCGGCGCGGGCCGGCTGGCGCGGGCCGCCCCGCGGCTGCCGCGAGGCCCCGGCCCGCCGCTCCGGGCGGCGCCGCCTGCCCGTCCGGCGCCGCCCCTGTTTGGACAGCCGGGTGCAGGCGGTGCAGGCGGGCGCCTCTGCAGCCGGCCGCAGCCCCGGGCCCCCGGGCCGGGTCGGCGGCGCAGGAGCGGCGGCGCACCGCCACCGCCCCAGGCCGGAAGCATGCCAGGCTCCGATAGCAGCCACTGCGGCCGGCGCTGCGGCTGCTCGCAGCATCCGAGAGGCCGCATCGCGCACCGGTCTGCTGGCGACCGGGCGCTGTCGGCCACTAGCGTGTCGTGCCGTGCAGTCGCCAGCGACGCCCAGCGGACGTTATATAAACACGGCAGACGGGAGGAGCGGACGGGGATCAAAATAACACGGCCCAGCCGTGCAACATAACCGCTCCTGATGAAACAGCAAGCAAGCATGCTTATCCCGCCCCGTGATTCAGCAAATTAGACAGGTGAAAATGGACGGGGCGCACATGTCCTACCAATGATTAACAGACATAGCATAGCATTCCAGATGACGCATTCTCAAGACCATTCGTACAGCTTCCTCCTTCCTTTATACTGAATTCCTTCGAGAGCGATTTTGTGTGAAAGACAAGATGAACGCTGCGATAACTCTATTTACCCGCGCAATAACATAAGCACTTGGCGTGGGCAGACCCAATGCAATTCATGGCGGCGGATATTTCCTTTACAGTGGTGCTGCACCAGACCAGGACGGAAGACCCCGAATCTAATGTGGAGCTAATCGTGGAAAGCGCGGGGACGAGTGGTCACGCATGGACAAAACTCATACGTGGAAGCCATCGCTACTCGCATAAAAAGCAGGTCGTGAACGATGCATCGCAAAAAAGCAAGGGCGTACAGGACAGCTGCGACCATAATCGCCATGGGCGTGCAACATCTACGCAGCAGCTACGAGCGAGTGATGTACTCAGAAGAGACTGGCCGGACAGTGAGCAGTGTACCGCGGCGTGTACGGCGCGGGAGAGCAGCCGGCGGGCATCGTCAGAACAAAACGGCGCAGCAGACGGTCACAGCGCACGGTCCAGCCAGGGAAACCCAGCCCGTGGCGACGGTGAGCTGATTCCCCTCAGTGCCGCCAGAAAACGAAATCACGGGTCCCACGCAACGCCAGATGAATGGCGAAAAACGCACACAGCTGCTATTCGGACTGTCAGCCCTAGCGGAGAAGAGAATACGTTCACTTATGACAAGCGCGGAGCTTGCTGATCCTTCCCTGCATACGTTCGAGACTAAGGAAGTTAGGCTGTGAACTGAGTCTCCAAGGTCACATGTGTGGCCACGTTGAGGTCGCCAGAAACACATGTCCGATATGCATATGCAGACGGACGCAACATCCAACAATAACGTGCCGCCCGGGCTCCAGCAGGTTCTTGAGACATGCAAGGCCTCTGTTTATGCAAAGGCTTGAGTGCAGGGTATCCCCAGAGCGCTGAGTCAAACTTGGTCACCCAGCAAACCGAACACCGCCCGCCCGGCCGCTCACCGAGACAAGGTCAGCCCTCCACCGTGCGGTCCCACCGATCCCAGCCAGGGTCGGGGTGTCCCGGTGCCGGGCTGGGCCTCCCGGCCGCGCTCACGCCGAGACTGGCGGACGGCGCCCGGCCGGCAGCAGTCGGTCACCATCAGCCGGACCCGGCCGGCAGCGGTCGGTCACCATCAGCCGGGCCCGGCCGCAGCGGTCGGTCACCATCAGCCGGGCCCGGCCGGCAGCGGTCGGTCACCATCAGGCCGGGCCCGGCAAGCAGCGGTCGGTCACCATCAGCCGGGTCGGCCGGCAGCGGTCGGTCACCGTCAGCCGGGTCGGCTATCGGCTGCGCGAGCCCTCGTCGCATCGTATCAGTGGACAGGGCTCGACCGGCCATATGGCAGGCGGACCTATCGCGGGGCGCCGGGCCTCAAACACGCGGCACGTGGCCGAGCCGCATGTAGGAGCGGTCCTCGCCGCGCTTGTGGATTCGGTCTGCAGGCGATGTGTTGCAGATAATGACCTATCGCCGTGATTGGCGAACGGACAGCGGTTGGACTTCAGCCGTGTAAACGAGTGGCACGGGGGGGGGGGGGCGAGGGAGACCCTATCAACTGGTAAGCAAGTCAGACCCAAGGTTAGATTTGACGGAACAAAGAAACGCTGCACAAGGCCGGCGAGGGAGGAAGCGTGGAAAATCGTGGCACATCGCAGTCATTAAAACGGTCCAACCCCGAATCCGCTCACGCTCGCCCTTGTATTTCTGTCCGGATCAATAATTCGCCTGCCTTCAACGCGCTACACCTGCCGTGCCCCTAACTCTGCGTCTGGCCCACCAGGTTGTGAAATGCGCCGGGGCCCAGGCGCGGGCGGGTGGGCGGCACACGCAGCACGTGCACGAGCCGCGCGCCCCCGCATACTGGCACAGCTGCGGCACCGGCGGCAGCTGGCCCAGAGGGCAGGCCGCGCGGCCGTCACCCGCCGCTGGAGCCGGCGGCCCCAGCGGCGGCGGCGGAGGTGCCGTTAGGTGCCGAGCTTGGGCTCCCGGCTGCCCCGCGGACCGGATCCCAAGGAGAGGGTGCGGCGGTGGTGTTATGACGGGGAGGACTGCGGCACGGTGACTGACCGCACTGCGATGGGCCCAATGACGTCACGCGAGCGCACAAGAGCGGAGATGAATGTGAGCGTTGGGACAGCTTGGACGAGACGGAGGGCCCGGATTCACGTGGGAGCAGGATGCACTGATGATAGGAAAGACGACAATGGCGCATCAATAGTGAAGGTCGTGAAAATTGCACCGAAGTGTCGATTGCAGCACTGGCACCAAACGTGAACCATGCCTGCCAGAGCTGGCCAACAGCGGAGTGACACGGCCCGCCCGGCCCGCGATGAACGACAGCGCTCCTACTCGGTCAAACTGGACGCAGCTATAACTGTTGCGGACACGAACTTAACGAGCTGCTCAGTGCTGAAACAACGGTCTAGCATGAAGAATCGAGTTTTTATTTCAAAACCACCGACTATTTCCTCAATACGCCCCTGCTTATAAGGCCGGGAAGTCCACCGAAACAGCAATAGAGGCATGCCTTCGACATCGAAATGGAAAGCCATTGCTCCCCGCTGATTCGTCTGATGTGCCGCAAGACTTCGCCAACACACCACTTGACGCCACTACGGCTATTTGCAGTCCAAACAACGCCTGCCCGGCACCGGTCTCCGCACTGGCCTGCGGTGGGGGGGGGGGGGGGGGACGCTGCCACTCACCCTCCGCGCCGATGGAGACCAGCTTGACGCCCTTGCTGGCGATGAAGTCGAGAGCCTTGTTGACGTTGGCGATCTTGTGGAAGCGCATCTTGCCGCGGTCGGGCTTGGCGAGCGTCTCGCCCGAGATGACCTCGAGCAGCAGCATCAGCTTCAGACCGTTCCGGAAGTCTTCCTCGATGTTCTCGATCGAGGTGCCAGCCTTCCGCAGGTGGGAGTTGCACCAGGCGGTGAATGTCTGCCGGAGGGAAGGCCATGGGTCAGCGGGGTCAGCAAAGGTCAGCACAGGTCAGCGGAGATCAGCGGAAGTCAACGGAGGCCAGCAGAGCTCGGCGGTCAGTGGATGTCAGTGGATGTCAGTGGAGGTCAGTGGAGGTCAGCCAAGGTCTGCGGAGGTCTGCGGAGGTCAGCGAGGTTAGCGAGGTCAGCCGAGGTCAGCAGGGCTGGCAGCAGTTAGGTAAGGCTGGCGGACTTTCGACATGTCAGCAGAGGGAGCCGCGAGTCGGCTGAGATTGTCAGCTGATGTGGGACGAGGTCAGCAGAAGTCGGCTGATGGCCAAAACAGCTCAGCATATTTGAAAACCGCGGTGCCAAGTGCAGACCACAGGTCACAGGTGGGCAGAGGTCAACAGGAGCTCTCAAAAGGGCAATGTTACAGATCACCAGCACAGGTCAGACCTGCATAGCTGAGCCGAAATTAGTTGAGGACACCTAAAGGCTAGTGGGGGCAGCAGAGCGCAGAGAAGTCCACCGGCAGACCTAGAGCGGTCGCCCGACATCCCCTAACAGCTTTCCATCGACCGACGGCTATCAGAATGCCCTGCCGTCGTCGGATGGGTGCCATACATGGGGGTAGGTCAAAGCCATGGTCGCATGAGGCCTGACGTTTGGCTGCCATGAACGTCTGTTGGTTCAGCCCATCAAGTGTGCCGCCCAACCATCTGCAATGTCACGCCGACACCTAAATAGGGAGACGCATGGACCGCTCGGGTTTCCAGACCACAGCGGAAATGGAGGGCGTTAAGGTAATGGCGATTGTTGAACTGCATCCGCACGTGCGAGATTCCAAGGCCTTTGAGGCCCTCCTGCCGCACGGCCTTGGAATCCGGCCGAGTCATCGCGACGCTGCCAAGGGGGCGGCACTGTGCGCTGCTGGACCAGGCTGTGCAACCATGTCCGAAAGCCTCCCATCCGCCCGACGCCAGCGACTGCGGTCCACAGCGTCACGACTCCGGCCAGCCTGAGCTCGCTGACACGCCTGTGGTGCTCCAACAGGTGGACCAAAGGGGTCAAACGGGTTCAGCGGCACCACCGGCACCGTCATCCTGCTTCACCACGTTGCCTCATTCATCCGGCTCTGGCACAGCAGAGGCAGATAGACGTGAAGTGCGTCCTGAAGCCGCCGCTAGGTCACGGCGCATGCTGCTTGATTCCTCTCTGCGATCTCCAGTCATTCCCATGCCTGCAGCTGCCCAGGTTACCCCGCCCACCTCCCACGCATCGCGCTCTGCCTCAGTGCTGTCTCCGGTCCACAAAGTTAGCGCCGGCGCCTGGCGGACCATTCAGGAAGGTCCGGTCCGGTCCAGCCCGGTCGAGCCGGGAACGCTCCCACGGTTCTGGGAGCGCTCCGTCCCCGGCAGCGCTCAGGCGCGTCCGACGCGCGGCCCGGCCGGCCGCCGTCCCGCCACGCCATCCGCGCCGGTGCTGGCCGTCGACCCGCGGCGCGCCGGGAGAACCCGGCCTCCATTCCGGTCCCGGCGGGCTGCGCTTATCTGCCCATTATCCAGTCGGCTCGCGGCTCGGCCTGTACACAGGCGGCGGCGGCGCCGTACTGCGGTCCCTGTCGCGCTGGACGGGCGGTGGCCGCCGCCGCCGCCGCCGCCGCCGCCGCCGCCGTCTGCCGTCCTCCGGGCTCTCGCCCGCGCCCGGCCGTCCCGCTCTCCGCCGGCAGGGCCCGTCCCAGCGTCCGGTGCGCCGAGTGACGCGCGTGCGTGCCCGGCCGTCCGGCCGCTCTCTGGGAGAGTGGCGCGAGAGGCGCAAGGTCGCTGACCGGCGCGCAGAGCCGAGCAGTCGGCCCCGCCCGGACCGGGGACGGCGTCGGCGCGGTACCGAGGGCGCGCCGGGCGCTGCCGGCCGGCAGGGGGCCGTGTGAGAGTGGAGGGCGGAGCGAGGCGGACACAGCGGCCCCGGGCGGAGACAAACGCCGGTGTTTACCCACCGATTCCTGGCGACAGATGCGCAGACGGGCCGTCACAACAGCGCCATGGACGGACGGACGGCGGGCGGCCGCCGCGGCCCGCGGAGCCGGTGACGGTGGGACAGGCCGGCCAACTCCAGGCTGGGCCTCCCTCTCCCGCGGAGCGGACCCGATAACACCAGGCTGCACCCGGACACAGTCACGTGTCGCATCCATCGCATCGCATCATCATCGTTCGCTGAACACGAAGGACGCCCGACAGCGGACCAGACCCCTGGACGGGGAGAGGCCGCATACAAAGGCCTCTGAGGAGTGGACCTCTGCTAGTTATTTGGGCTTTCGGGCGCTTCGCTTGCCCAGTCATATGGTGCCCATGGAATGAACCTCTTGGAATCCCGTAAATAGCCACTCTCAGAAACTCGCATACAGACTTCTCATTTCTGAAGACAGCCCACCTGACTCTTTCCAAACACATGCGACCTGGTAATCCCAAAGTTCCGGTCCGTCGGCTTCCCGCCGCTCTCAGCATAGGGCGACATGAAGTGAGAGCGCACCAGTCAGCGTCGCCGGCTGCCAGCACCGACGGCCGGGCGCCGCTCGTGACCCGGTGGCCGTGAGGTCACCAGCGCGTGCCCGCCGGCGGCCGGGCGCCGCTCGTGACCCGGTGGCCGTGAGGTCACCAGCGCGTGCCGCCGGCGGCCGGGCGCCGCTCGTGACCCGGTGGCCGTGGGGTCACCAGCGCGTGCCGCCGGTGGCTGGGCGCCACTCGTGACCCGGTGGCCGTGAGGTCACCAGCGCATGCCCGCCGGCGCCGCCGCGCAGTTGCCGCAGCGGTACTGCGGCCGGCGAGCAGCACGTCCGGCCCCACACAACACGACATAACGTGACCGTCCGATAAAAACGGCGGAGCGGGACACAGCCAACACAGGTCTGCCACGTACAAACATTCGCCGAAACCGCACCGAGATGCCGATGTAGGCCGCGGCGCGCGCTGTACATGCTTCGGGTGAGCGGACCAAGCGATGTCCTGTTCGAGTCGTGATTCCCGTCCGCTATGAAATCACAGTCGTGCTGTGGGGAGCAGTTTCAGACACGACGTTCGCAAACAGCGTGCCGAACGGATTATTCGATTATGCCAGTTTCCTGCGTGACAGTGAGCCTCTGACGACGCGTAATGATCGTTTAAGATCTGCCACAGCGACCGCATTTATCACGCCGGGTGTTAGAGCGCAGGTACCATTATTCCATCGCAAAGCGACGCGTCGTCATCGCATCCGTGTCTGACCATTTAACGCCACAGCGCCTCCAGGTGGTGGCGGGCACGACTGAAAGACGACTCTTCGCGCCGCATCCGACACCCCTGCTTAGTCCGGCGATGCGGCCCATTACCGACACTTTCGTTTCCGGTGCCAGCGGTCAGCCGAGAGCACGCGCCGAGCCGATCCGGACGGGGGGGGGGGGGGGCATACGGAGCAGTAGCCCCTGTGTGTCCTCACACGAAGTCCGGGCTATGAGGAGAAGCCCAGCTCCGGTCCGGATCAGCCGCCGCCATGCAGCGCACCCCGGCGGTAGCGCCGAGAGAGCGCCGGGAGGACCCGCCCCCGCCGGTGCCCGGGCGGTGGGCGTGGCAGGCGGGGGTGCCGTGGACCACCCCCCCCCCCCCCCGCCGCCGCCGCCGCCGCCGCCGCCCCCGGCCGTCTAATGATAGCCGGCGGCCGCCGTCACCATGATTCACGAGCGGGTCGCGTCTCTGGAATGCCCCGCCGGGTCGGGCGGCTAAAAATACGCCCGGCCAGGTGCCCGTGCCAGAGTGGCCGGCCCGACCCGGCCCGGCGACACCGGAGCCGGCCGGTGCCCGGGTCACCTCGGGTTTGCTCGCTGGCGCCGCCCGCCTGGGTCAGCCCAGGTCGGGAGCGAGGTCAGGTCATACGCGATCTGGCCAGGGACAGGCTGGGCAAGCCAGCCGGCAAGGTCGCGTACAAGGTCATGTCGTAGCTCATCTCAGCGACCAGAACTACCATCTCCAGGTTGCCAAAGTGTCACTTCTGACTTAAATTTCGCACGTTTCGACAATTACTATGCATAAATGAATAACTATAAGCAAGATATGTGCCAAGATTACAATACGGCATACATTATTCAAATTCATACATCAGAAATTCTACAACCGAACGTGACAGTTACACTCTTTTGCTTCGTGTGAACAGATATAGGCTTGTAGCTGTAGATATGTGCATAACAGGTTGTGCTGAGAGGGGTAGGGGGCCAGTTCCAAAGGCCAGGTCAATCACCGCAGCATCGCATCAGGTACACCCACCCCGCAGCCGAGCGTACAGACGGGCCGTGGCGCGCACAGACGGAGGAGTCTCAGGTTCACAAACCGACCTGGCGCCAGAGCAGACAGGTCCCAGTCGGCCCCAAACGCAGGACTGTGGCAGGCTGGCACGCATGGTGACGTCACGTGCGGACCTAGCACGCCTCCGAGCACGGGTGCGCGAAGGGCAGACCCCGCCGAATCGCCGCGGCTAAGTGTGTTTGGGCCGCGCTGATGGGAGAACAGGTGGGCAAAGGGCGCCTGTCGCGTTGAGCCGCGGGACGGGTGTGTACAACAGGTCGGACAGGAGTTTGGAAGGGCGGCCGGCGGTGATGGAGCGGCCCCGCCCACCGACCTCACTTCAGAAAATAGCCTGAAAAACGATCAGCCCGGCCGCTGCTGCCAATGAGCCGTCCGCGCTGACGTATCGCGTCAGGAACCCGCTCCACGAGCTCACTCGGCTGGGGCTGCAACTGTGCACGTGGCACAATCAGAGGCCCGAAAGCTCGACGAGGCCGAGTCGGCTGGACGTGGAAAATGCGCCGGCTGCGGAACGGTGGCGGTATAGCAGCCCATCCGCATCGCTCTCCGCCAAAACGTCGCCATACCTCACACTTCCAGACGCCGTAGATCGCATCTCCAACGAGGCGGCGAGCGGCGCCCACAGCCGGCCCAGGCCGCGACGTGATTAACCGAGGGCGGGTGCGTGATTTAAGAGTCGGCGCTG